TCAGCGATGTTATACTAGCTACACGAATCACTTGTTTTGTAGCAGGTATGTAATCCTCCTGACGCTTACTCCGCATCATGGGATTATCATTTAGTTTTGTGTTTTGATATTAGAAATTTTGTTACAAATAATTGAAAATGCAGTATTTATGCTTTATACTACGTGTTCTACATCAAACTATGACCAAACGATGATTCTTCTTATTTTCAAATACTGTTTATAAAAGAAAACTGATTTTTCCATTTTTCCTAATGATTTTGAATAAGTATTATTAGTATGATTTTCAGCAAATAATGAAATACAATTGGCATTCGTTTATTCTCCCTTTATTTCGTAATATGTTCCTTTTTGAATTTTGTAAATATCATTCTTACTTTTTCTTTATGATTTTTTTTTTAAATTACATCAAATTGGTTCGGTATTCTTCGCTTAGGTACAATTCTTTCGGTCGGCACTATAAGGGTTTAATTTCATAATATATCGCTTTGGATGAAGTGCTAAAAAAAATACATTAAATATCTGTACACACTGTCCGTCGAATGTAGGGGGAGAGCCACCGTTCTCTAATTCGCAGCCAAATGGTGGTCCGATTCCTACAACTGGCAGTCAAACGGTGGCCCGATTCTACAACTGACAGTCAAACGGTAGACCGATTCTATAACTGGCAGTCAAAGGGTAGGCCGATTCTATGTACGAGTATGTATCGTACAATTGGCAACCAAACGGTGGCTCTCCCTCTACATTCGACGGATAATGTGTACAGGTATTTAATGTATTTTTTTAGCAATTTGTTTTTGTAATTCATCCAAAGCGATATGTTATGAAATCAAATTAATCACTCAATAAGTAAATGATGTTTAAATTATATCGTGTTTGATCTCATTTTCATCAGAAAAATCTCACCAACATGTTAAAAAAAATTTCAGATAAAAAATGTAAAATTAAAAAAGTTATATTATTCTGTTATGAACTGTGGAGCCGGGAAATCTCGTAAAAGAAACCAGATCGTGTAGCGTTACGCGCTTGACTGACGGTGAGCGAGATAGCATAGGCGCAGCAATAACATAACCTAGGCGTAGGACCATCTATACTGACACTTGATTATATCGTGTTTTATGTCATTTTCATCAGAAAAATCTCACCAACATGTTAAAAAAAATTTCAGATAAAAAATGTAAAATTAAAAAAGTTATACTATTCTGTTATGAACTGTGGAGCCGGGAAATCTCGTAAAAGAAACCAGATCGTGTAGTGTTACGCGCTTGACTGACGGTGAGCGAGATAGCACAGGCGCAGCAATGACATAACCTAGGCGTAGGACCATCTATACTGACACTTATAGAATCCAAACTAGCTGACAGTTGTAGAGACATTACTGTATATGCAACGAATTTTGGTCAGAAATCTGCATTTACACGCTTACACAATTCAATTACACAAAAACTCAAGCCAATAGACAATTTACAGAGCCGTGCATTGTTCAATAGGGTGTTAGCAATTAATGGTGCTTTTTTGTAAGACAATCGTTTTAAGTCCATTTCCATCTCAATGAATATGTTAATAAGTACAATTGTCAAATCTGGGGCGCTGAGCATCCACATGTAATTGAAGAAAAACTAATGCACCCAAGCAGATTCACAATATTTTTTCGAAAGTGAGGCTAAAAATGCACTCACAGTGAATAGTGAACGCTGCTGTAGCATGGTCAATAAATTTTTACGGCCTGAATTAAATGATATTAAATTCGATGGCATGTGGTTTTAACAAAACGGTGTGGCACGACGTGTCACATAGCACATGAAAGAATCGATTTATTGCGTTCGAAATTTCTTGATCAAGTAACATCTCGAAATGATGACATCAATTGACCCTTTAAATATTGCACTTTAACATCATTACACTTTTTCTTGGGGCCTATGTGAAAGGGAAAGCTTATGCCGAATAATCCTCAAACGATTCAGAGCTGAAAGACAATATTCGACGTGTTATTTGTGAAACAGAACCAACTTTCTACGAATATGTCACCAAATACTTCGAAAAAAGAATATTGATCTCGTTGAAATGAACATTGTTCGAACGATACGCGGGGTCTTGTAGCGCTACCTATAATTGGTCTTTTTCCTTCAAGTCACGGTCGACGCTTTTTCCGTTAGTTCGTGCTCAATGGTCCCGCACGACACAACGCTGTATTTTACACGATAATAAATTGCACTGTATCGCGAATCATCGACTGATTTTGTCTTCGCAAAACCTGTCCCGAAACTCGCTCACAGATCTACCAAAAAAGCCGGCAAGGTTATTTGAAAGATATTGTGTTTCATACATAATTCCTACATTATATGTACTTTATATTGAAATCAAAAATTTATTAATAACTCCGCGTTTAATTTAAAAAGCACATCCTGCAATTCCTATTGCATCACCCTGTATGTCACATTACAACAAAATACTTTTGTTCATTACATGTGTATATTTATTTCAGATACAGGATGTAGAAGTTAATATCATAGCGATATCCAAATATTTTTGTAAGAAATTTTAAATAATAATATAATAAATATATAATAAAGACCGTTTCAAAACATCGATTTGTTTTTACATTTTCTTAAAGCTTCGAATACTTAGAATATTGTGTCAAAGCGAAATATCGAAATTGAAACACCTGACAAAGTTACAATGATGGACAGGGAGACAGGTTGTTTCACGAACCGGATTTAAAAGGGAGAGCAAAATCGAACAATACTTTGAAGAACTATGC